AATGGTCAGAAAAGGTTGGATTATGGTCAGAAAAGGGTTGGATTATGTCCAAATAATGGTCAGAAAAGGTTGGATTATGGTCAGAATATGGTCAGAAAAGGTTGGATTATGGTCAGAAAAGGTTGGATAAAGGTCATTTTATGACGTTGTATAGACGTCGGTTTCTGACGTCTAAAAAACTTTCAAATCCAACCTTCTGCCAACGTTTACCCAACGTCAGGGTCTAACGTCAGTACAACGTTGGTACAACGTCATTTGTTTGCTGGGTTAATGTCGAGCCCTGTATCCGAAAAGTTGAAATTTGTTCCGTTAATCGGAATACCCCGCCTATTATCATTGACATACATTGTAAATGGCGGCGCCCGACTAGAACTGACACTGAAAATTTCATCGATAGGTATAGAATTCTATATATTTTTTAATTGTTTTTTTATTTGATTTTCTTTTAAATATTCACGTGTAGTCTATAGCCGGGCAAGCCAAAGCCCGGACCCGCTTTGCGGGCCCTGCCTTTGACTTCCCCGTATAAAAAAGCAATAAAAGTACTACAAATTATATACAATTATGGGCCGAGTTGATCTGTGCCGAGTTGGTATAGGGCCGACATGACTCGGGGCCGAGTTGACCCTAATTTGGTGAGCGACTGCCCTTTATGAAATAACAAATTACTTTACAAGTTATTATCTTTATGGAATGGCCAACAAATGAATAATTGAATGTCATTAATGTTCAAAATTGTTACACAAGCTTTACTTATAAATGAAATATGAATCTATATGGAGGCGGGAGTCGCCCAGTGTCCGGCTCTGTGTGATTTGCAGCAACTTTTAGTTTATAATGCAATTAAGTTCTTAACATCAAGCTTTTTAACATCTTTCAATAGAAAAAGTAAATTATTTTCATTTGTACATAATACGAAATTATACCTCTCTTTAGAACAAACATCTTGCTATCTTTCTTTGTCCCGCTTTGTGCCAAAACAATCTCAAAAACGGCGCCAACTTGCGATGACGATAACTTCCCGCAAAAAATAACGGTGTATTTTATTTAAATACACCATGAAATTTGTATTATTTGTGGTGAAGCTGTACTAAATTAGCCTTAGGTTGAACATCACTAAACACTTTCACTCAATCCGGTAAAGACTGGGACATAAGTTATTTTATGTCCCAGGTAGAGACTATAAACCACATGGAACTAGAAACATACTGTAACCCATTCCCGTACCAATTAGATCTATATATTTATTACTTTTCCACAGGGTTTCGTTACTGGAAATGGCTATTGACAGGTCATATTTTTGTTTGTGAGTAGGTGAGTCTAATATACACGCATGCATTTATTCAAGTAAGAATCAATGAGCATTACTTCAAGCCACTTTGTTAACTGTATGGGTCTAAAAAACAAAACAAAAACACCCACAAAAAGCACAAAAAAACAAAAGGAAAAAAACAAACATATAATTTCTTCACAAAGATACTTTTTTCAAAAAATCTAATATTCTAACACAATTTCATATGAAAATATACTTTCTCTAAATATGGCAGTTGTGGCTTGTAATTTAGGCAAACATGCAAGGGTGTTTGGCACTAAAAACTTTGGATGGCGAACTTTGCTGATATTCATAAAAAAATGAATGTCTTATAAAGCATAGGAAAAAAGTAATGAAAAGCTGATTTCTATTCGTGTCCATCCGTAATATCTTCTCAGAACGGCAGGCAATGACCAACATTTAATGTATTAATACTTGTAGGCCTTGAGTAACTTATTTTCTTAATACACTCTATTGATTTATCTGAGCACATTTATGTTATGACATTTTTGGTTAAAACTGTATATATACTCTGCTGAGAACGCCACCAGTCATAATAATCAGCGATGTTCATGTGTATCAAGTTTAATTAGATTTGTAGAGCTCATACTGGACCTTTATAGTAATGCCGTGTCTCTAGATTTCATTTTTCGATCGCAGAAAATAAAAGATAGATAATAAAAATAATAACGAAGACATAGAAAAGCTGACACAGTTCACAAACTTAGAAAAACAATACAGCAGAGAACATGCCCAGCGCAGTACTTACAGAGTCTAGAACATCACACGCATGCGAGTTACTAAGTCGTGGCCACGTGATAGCTAATTAAGTCGAGGCCACGAGATACTATGTCGTGACCACGGGTTACTAAGTCGTGGCCACGAGATAGCTAAGTCGTGGCCACGAGATACTATGTCGTGGCCCGAGTTACTAAGTCGTGGGCATAGTATCTCGTGGCCACGACTTAGCTTTCTCGTGGTCAAGACTTAGTAACTCGTGACCACGACATAGTATCTCGTGGCCACGAGATAAATAAAACATAACATGTCACGTTTGTGCCACCGTATATGGGCGATGCCCTGAACAATTCATTTTTTAATATCGTAGTTCTAAATAAAAACTTTTTTTTTCAGTTTGCAGTTGCCATGTCACTAAATATATTATGCATGTTAAAATAGTATTCATTGAATGTATATACTATTGTGTTGATGCGTGTAAATAGAGTTAATAAAGTGTTAATCTTGTTAATAATCCGAAAGTTTTATTACCAACGGAAACGGACCTCTTCTTTGCCTTGGTAATTGTCCCCAACAAACACAGCAGTTGTTGCTTTTCTATCTTTATTGAAAATGATATACCTCCACGACAGTTGTTTTTTCCTGGATACGTTCCGTACCAATTAGTTTCAAAGGGTACCCACCTTATGGCCATGCTAAATAAAGATGGCTTAATTTATACTGTCCCTTTAAATTGTAGAAGTCCTGAATAATCTGAAACTTTTATTGATCAATAAGCACCATTTAGGTCTTAAAAGTTTTACACTTAGTCTAATACACAGGCGCTAGTCACATAATCAAATAGTTTACATGACCGGTCTATATATGTACATAAAGATATCTTATTATATAGTTTATAGCCCATATAAAACTTTAAAAAGTTTGTTTCAAGCACCTGTGGTCTAATAGACTTAACAGCATTTCGTGAAATTCATTTGACAGAGTAGAACAAAATGGAGGAGGTAGGATGAAAAATACATGTGCTTGTTGACAGAGACAAGATGAGAAGGGGTGAGGCGGAGGGGGTAGAGGTAAATATTGGAGGTTTAACGACAGGAAAAGTTATATATAAGATAGAGAAAAACATAATTCTGAAGAAAGCCTAAAACGGCAAAATTGAAAATGTTGCAAGTCCGCTTTGATTGAGTCCGTTCATGGACGGTACTGGAAAGTGCAAGCTACCGTCCACGCCCCTAGCACCGGCTCAAGCAGAATTCAACATTTAAACATGAAACTATTTAGAAACATCAGCAGAATGATGTGTTCATACAGTGGTTATCATGGAACTATCAATGTGACACATATGTGCAATTCCCTGAAAAGCGGCGTATGGTCCCCAAGGAAAAAAGAATGTGCCTGTCGAAAAAGAGAAAACAATGGGCGGAACTTAATGAAAGGGAATTTCGAAAAGAAGTTAAAGGTTTTGATGAGACACGAGAGAGGAAAAGCCAATATTTATATAGACTATATCAAAACGTTATAAATTTTCCTTGTACAGTGTTGAAAAAAAAGATACGTAAGAAATAACAGCAGACTCATTTTTAAAAATTAATTTCGGAAGGGTTTTCAATGCTTGTTTTTTTTTTTTTTTTTTTTTTTAATACGTTTTATTTAAGGTCGCCGCCGGAAAGCCCATATTGGGCGACCGTACACTCAAGTCGGGTCATCCTAGAGCATCCCGCCGAGATTTTTCGTCGATTTTTTCCAGCTTTATTGGTGGAGGAAGACCCCAGGTGCCCCTCCGGGCATTATTTCAGGCACGAGCGGGCACCTGGGTAGAACCACCGACCTTCCGTAAGCCAGCTGGATGGCTTCCTCACATGAAAGATTTCGACCCGAGTGAGGATCGAACCCACAGTGGTGGGGGACCTGTGATCTCAAGTCAGCGACTTTAACCACACGGCCACGGAGGCCCCAAATGCTTGTTGTGCATATACATGTATATTGTATATCATCAGCCGACTATTTGTATCATAATATTATCAAATGACATAACGTCGTAAAAAGTGGGAACATTAAATGACAACAACACAATTATAATTGTTTATACCGTAAATATAATATTACGGACATTTAGCATCATCTGTACAATCTGGCAGTAAAAATTACCATATACATTTGTATTCGTTAAAGGGAGGTAATAATGTTAATGTGTTAATAAGTTATTTAATATAGCCCAAACAACGCCCCAAGTACGGCAAATTGAAAATGTATACGTGTGAAAAATGTGTAACCTATACCAATCATCGTTTCACATTACATACATCATGTGTTTATGTTAAGTTTACCATCACACATACTCCATTATACAACACTCGAAAATTAAAGGCCCATTATTCAACCAAAAAATATTTTCGTTTTTAATTCTAATAAAAACTTTTTTTGAATTCTTTTATAGTTTCCAACAAGTTACACATTGACCACTTACCTGAATTGTCTTCCTCTTCTGCTGCTTTTTAAACAATTAGTACATGTATTGGGACTTTTAATGGATTTAAATGGAAGACAAAAAACTACTTTGTTTACATTTTGTTACAATTATGACAAACTATTTTACATTTATCGCTATTTCCCTTAGAACGTTTCCCTATAACCATTATTTGAACGTTATAAAACTCATGTTTCATCATTTTTTAAAAAGTAAATCTATTCGTTTCTGAGGTGCCTAAAAAAACAAACAAACAAACAAACAAAAAAAAAAATTAGTAAAACATAGACAAAGGTTAAAAGAAAACATCTATCTTTTTCTTATAATAATTATTATTACAACAAAATATGTAGTATCACTAAAGATAACATCTTTAAAGGTAATTCAATACATATTAGAACAACATGGTACTGATATCTATAACATCTTATATATGCACAATAAAAGGAAGAAATATCATCTTTCACTATTTTACTATACTTTTTTTTATAACATTTAACATTACAATATCGTGCATAAGGAAGTTTTGATACTGTGGTATATATTTTAACCGGACCTGAAGGATAAACAGAATGTCTGGTAGGTTGCTTATTTACTTTTTCTTTCTCTCTTTTGGTCAGCTATTACGGTGCGGCCACCATATCAGTATTATAATCATCTATTATGATAGGCCTAACAATAGTTTTAAAAAATCGCCTAAAATTGACATGTATTTTTTTTCTCAATGTGATTTTTCAAAATTTTGTATTGAATTAACAAGTTATTATATAAGTTTACAGTGATGTCACTTATTTTACCGTTTCACTGTGTTTTTTTTAAAAGTAAAATGTTTCAAACCACTAATTTAACTTCACATGTTTTTGTATGATGGGCAATTAAGATAGATAAATGAACGGGGGTATATAAGTCTGTGTTATGAAGAAATTGGATAAACTTACAGAAAAAGTGTTATACTTTACAATTAGACATGAACTTGCATATATGAAATATTTGGTAGATTTACGACTCTTTCTATATGATCTATCAAGTAATTACAACTCGGCGTTTCTGAACTATTTGATAAATGTACGACCCTGCGTATATGAACTATTAGGTAAATTTACGACCGGCGTATATGAACTATTAGGTAAATTTACGATCCATCATATGTTAACTATTAGTATTAGGTAGATTTACGACCCAGCATACATTAAATATAAGGTAAATTTCGGTTTGACATTTAAGTAGCTATCAAACACTGAGGTAATTTACACATTGATACTTAGGATTGGCATACCTTTTATTAATAATATTATGTTTGAAATACATTTCCTTGCTGTTTCTCTCGGCAACATACCCTTTTCAAATGATTTAGTTATACTCCATGCTAAAGAAATTTAAAGAATCATGAGTTAACGGAATTTTCCGGGATCTAAAATTGAACGTACTTTATAAATTTTATATACTTGTATACCAAAACAGCTGCAAAAGAAAATTTTCATTTGGTTACTTGGAAATTCTATATACTCACTTTAGCAAAATAGTGGCAAGTTTGGTACCTCATTTTGCAGAAATCCTTTGACCAAGCCCTGGCTTTTAATTTGTATTGAAATTTGATCATTATCAAAAATTTTGTTTCGTGTAAAGAGTGGATGGGTGAAAAGTAAAGATGCAGAATTGTGATTTTAAAATCTTTTTTTAACTGGTTACAAGACAATTAATCGGTATCTGTTACGTCCATTTCGACTTCTGATCAACAAAGTGTTCGAAACTGCATGGACTTGACGTTACGTAATATGAAATTGGTTCTGAATGATGTTCCATTCCAAAATTCATGACTCTTACGGCAAATAGCTTGTTTATAGAAATCAAACATCTACTTGTCACCCAGACACAGGAGACACAGGCAAAGTTTCAGTTCTTCGTTCATAATTTGGTAAAGGAATATACTAAGAAGTCACAGGAACACATCTTTTCTCATTTTAAAGTTATAAAGTATTAAATGACGATTGTTTTTTTTTCTCATTTTAAAGTTATAAAAGTATTAAATGACGATTGTCTTTAGCGCGTTAAGATTTCACAATAGTTATCACAATGATCTTTGGAAACGTTAAAGAACATGGCTTGTGAATGACTTATTTTAATTATACAATATCCACAGTATCTGTTATTGTAACTTCCAAGGTTTGTTCAAGTCACAAAACTTGTTTTAAAACTACTCGATGATTCTGTCGGCTTCTAAATTTCGTTCCACATATTTAGATATACATGTATGTAGTTTCAAACCCAAAATGTATAGAATGTAATACAGAAATTCATGCTGAGATTTTTAAAAGATGTCATTTTAGCGTGATTTGAGTTCATAAGATCATTTTAAAATACTTTTGCCATCAAATTGCCTGAGTATCCCTTTAACAATGACCAAAGGTCTAATAATCTACTGTACGTGTAGTCAATTCATTTCTCCAAATTTTTATACCATTTTTTTCTCAATCAATTACACACTTTTTCTTGCAGCAGAGTATACATATGTTAGGTTTTTGTTTTAGCCATCTTGTCTAAAATTGATGAAGCAGTGACAATAGAGTACTTCCATGTGCAATGTATGTTGGTAGTTTGAGTTTATTTATTAGTTATTGTGACGTTATTTCGATTAATTTCAGACCACAATTCCACAAATGTTTTGATCGTTCTTCTCGTCATTCTTGGAGTAGTAGTTATACTGTTTCTAATAACGGTTGTTGCAATCATTTTGAGGTATGTATGTTCTTCTTCCTAAAAACGACCATAATGTAAATTTGTATATTAACTGTTTGTAGCGTTCTGTTACTAGCTGTTACATTTGTTTCAGCCTTTTTTGATATCATGTTAGCTTTTCTTTATATTATAGGTTTTTATAACAGTATATTGATCTGTAATTTGTATTGACTCGAGATTATTCTGCTAGGCAAGGATGTCACAGAAGTGCCGAGTATGATTCATCCCCGTAGAACCAATGAGAGCCAAACATTATTTACATTTTTGTATATTATATTTATTTAATGACCATCTTAATATATAAGCATCCAATAATTAATCATTTATTGATAATCAACCATAACATAATGGATTATAAATGTCGGCAAACGTCATTCAGGATCACCCTCCTTTACAGATTTCATCTCTATTGGTGTATGTGATACAGCCATTAAATATAACAAAGAATATAAAGGTACATGCACAGATATATAAACAATTACAAATAACTTATATTTAGCTCCATGGTACATGTATATAATAAAATTGAGTTAATATCCACTATAAATTAATTGAATATATGACTAAATCGCCTGGTATGTTATGTTTGTAATAGAATATTTTATAGACTTGATAAGACAAAAATAGTAAATTGAATGAAAAACAAGCAATAGTTGGTCTGTTAAAAGTTCCAGTTGATTATCCATGTAAAATACACCAGCACATTTTCTGTATTTTATTTCACTGATAATGTTAATATATAAACAAATGACAACAAATATTTTACAGATGGAGAAAAGATAAGGATAATTCTAACGTTACATTCAGATACCTCAATGGATCTAAGATAGAACCAACTACCTGGGCACATTACGGACAAGCTGATGATCTAACATCACCGTATTCAGAAGTGTTTCCTGATACCTTTTCATTTTCAGCCACGGACGAATCAAAGGAGAATACGCAAGAGCAAGGTATGAGTATATAAATGAGAATACTTATGTTTGGATGTTTGTCCTTCCGGGTTATGCATCCGGCAAAATTACATGACCTTTCATCAGTTAGTGCTACGTTTTTTTTATGGAATAAACGATAAAAACGACCATAATATGTTCGTTTTTTTCTGAAATAATTATTATGCACTTTAGAATTAATGTAACATTGTTTTATTTACAATACATTCCTAACATCGATTCTATTTAAAGCATTACATTTTTAAGGTTTATAGAAGGGACTCCATTTGCCGTAGGTCTTGACCAATAACTTGTGCGCAATATTTCAGATCAGTCGCTCAATCTGTGTTTTCAAAAAAAGAAAAATGTTCTAATATTAATTGTGAAAAATGACACAAAATCTAAAAGTGTTTCAACGCTTTTCACTCAATCAGGTTACGAGAAGTTTCATTTTTTTAGTATATTTCCTAATTATCTTTGTTAGAAGTGATCCAGCTGATCTATTTTAGAAATTAAAATCTAATGTATATAGGCTTTTTGGCCACAATAGAGTTCCTTTAATAAATGACACGTTTATAATGAACTAGTTCAATAGCATTGTTTGTTTATTTTTATACTCGAATTATTATTCCTGCATAATTATATTTATATTTAACCAAATGTCTTTAATTAATTTTAGTTTCGTTTCTTTTAATTTTGTTCAATGCTTTGTTACCGCCACGTTCCTTATACACATGTGCATAATAAATTATCATTGTTCAATGTATCATATTGTTTAAAAGTTTAATGAATATGCACCTTCATAAACTGAAACTTTTCATCAAAGTTATCAGATTTCCTTTTTATAACTTTTTTATAACTACTAGTATTTTTGTTTTAAAAGCTGAGGATGGAGTCAAATCTTCCGGAGAAACACATCGCATTTCAACGATATCCGGTAGATCTATTGATTTAGGTAATGTTAGTGGTGTTTCGGAGTTTACACTAAATCCTGCAGTTGTTCGAACACGTGGTACGATGACGTATGGGGAGTATAGGAAGATGAAAGCAGACAGTATGAGATCAAGTGTTGGTGTAGATCTAGGGGGAGACTATCATAAAGGTATTACATATTTTAATCTGTCTTATAGTTAATATATTTTCTTATCGTCATAATAACAGTTGATACCTCAAGAATAGTGTAGTGGGGGATGGGGGCTGGGGAGCAGAGCGTTGAGGAGGTTTCTGCACTCCCGCGCAACCCAATCAAACTCTATCTAATAATAGTATTTAGATCCCAGATTAAAGATATCCCTGTTTTAAAAAGTCATCCAAAATTAAAACATTACAAGTCTTATACTGAAATCTAGAAATCCAGCGGTGAAAAAATGAAATGCGAAAAAATTCCACATTGAATTCCGTCGATCAGCATTTTGAAAGTTCTGACACTGAAATTTATTCTTTTAAAGTTGAAACAAAGCCCCCAGGTTTGCTTTTAAAGAAAGAAATGATTATGTCTGTGTCAGTGCCTTGATGTTTGTTCTCATTTTATATTCAATGTTGTTTTACTTTGTTTTTAGCACAGAGAATTATGGGGGATGACGACGCAGCATTTTACTTTTAACTAGCATAACAGTCGTAAACCAATGTGATGCCAAACAATTTGAAATTCGACTCATATATGTACGATTTCCAAGCAGTAAAACATATTGTTTAAAAGTTTAATGAATATGCACCTTCATAAACTGAAAACTTTTCATCAAAGTTATCAGATTTCTTTTTTATTACTTTTTATTATAACTACTAGTATTTTTGTTTTAAAAGCTGAGGATGGAGTCAAATCTTCCGGAGAAACACATCGCATTTCAACGCTATCCGGTAGATCTATTGATTTAGGTAATTTTAGTGGTGTTTCGGAGTTTACACTAAATCCTGCAGTTGTTCGAACACGTGGTACGATGACGTATGGGGAGTATAGGAAGATGAAAGCAGACAGTATGAGATCAAGTGTTGGTGTAGATCTAGGGGGAGACTATCATAAAGGTATGAAATATTTTAATCTGTCTTACAGTTAATATATTTTCTTATCGTCATGATAACAGTTAATACCTAGGGGGATGGGGGCGGGGTAGCAGGGCGTTGAGGAGGTTTCTGCACTGCCGCGCAACCCGATCAAACTCTATCTAATAATAGTATTTAGATCCCAGATTAAAGATATCCCTGTTTCAAATGGTCATCCAAAATTAAAACATAAAAAGTCATATACTGAAATCTAGAAACCCAGCAGTGAAAAAATGAAATGCGAAAAAATTCCACATTGAATTTTGAAAGTTCTGTCACCGAAATTTATTCTTTTAAAGTTGAAACAAAGCCCCCAGGTTTGCTTTTAAAATCATTGGTTGTTAATTTCAACACTGCATTTGTTCAGCATATTTGAAAAAAGAAAGATAAAAAGTCTACCGGGATTTAGAAATGATTATGTCTGTGTCAGTGCCTTGATGTTTGTTCTCATTTTATATTCAATGTTGTTTTACTTTGTTTTCAGCACAGAGAATTATGAGGGATGACGACGCAGCATTTTACTTTTAACAGGCAAAACAGTCGTAAACCAATGTGATGCCAAACAATTTGAAATTCGACTCATATATGTACGATTTCCAAGCAGTAAAACATGGAGTTAATGAAAGAGAGATATTTATTCCCCATTACAACAACAAAAACTGTTTCTACCGTCTGTATGGGACCAGTTATTGAATTTGATAATAGACATATTGAATTGTTATGGACCTAGAGTGTTTGATAATCAAACAACATTTTTCTCTTTCAAATACAACACAGACAAGATGTTTATGATCTTTATATATAAAATGGATAAACACATATTCTTCTTATATAAATAATTAAAAAAAAGAAAGAAATGTGTTGGAATTATTTTCTTTTCATGTCTAACTAAGACTTCGTAAATCAACAAAAAAGGATATATTTTTATGCTTGTATTCGAATTCTTTTCTTTTAATTGTTACTGAATACACACATGTATGCAGGGTTAATATCATGCCGCTGCCGATATATTGAGGCCTTTGATTAAGTATCCTCAGCCCAAAACAAAATAAAAGAAACAAAACAAAGCATGCTACACTGAATATCTTTATTATTTATATAACAATTGCTAAGCAAATGCATCTAAACAAACAAATGAATAAATAATATAAACAATGTTTTAGACAGTGATCCTTTTTATTGAAAAACATAATGGCTTTATTGACATTTTAGGTCATATTAAAACATAAGACACAAACAATTTCCAAGCATTTCTTCAAAAAATACGTAATCATACTTTCAAAGCACATGCCACAAAATATCACAGAAAAATGGCGTTAACAACATGTTAAAGTCAAATAAATATAATGAAAAAATATAAATATATTTAAAACTGTGATAAAGTTTTATCTGACAGAAATAGTAAACAATACATTTCTTACCTTAGTCATTCAATGCTCGGCGGAACGTTTATTAAAATAACATTACGTGCTGATTGTTTGGCACATGTACATTGTATTCTGACTACTTTGATAAAAAATGTAGCAAATACATAACATGCATTAATAATATTGTACATACAAATACACATTGTGATTCAGACAGAAACTATTAATACATCTGTAGTCCCATCAATACGAAGATCATCTGATTTTATCAAGGGTTTACTGTTTCGACCTTTGAGCGACCGTGACATTGAATCTAATGGTCGTGTGTCTATCACTGTTGATTCAGACTACTAGTTAGATACCCAGGAAAGCTGATTAAAATGGACAGACGTCCGAGAAAAGAATTGCGAACATAACATTTTAGACCATCAGACAAAACTGCTAGACCTTTACAGACTCTTGGAATCCGGTAAGAATAATGTTAGTGTCAACTTTTCGTACATCTGAACAAGAAAGTTTATCGACTTTTTCACTACTCGAACTATTAACTATCCAATTATGCACGTTGAAAATTTCAAAAACGATCTTGAAAGAATGCAGTTTGTCTAGTCTTTGCAAAGGAGAGAATAATGATTTAGAAAACGAACACGTATGCACTAATAGCGGTCTAAACTTCTTGCTCATCAAAAAGTATATTATAGGATTTAATACTGTTGACGTTCTTGACATAAGAGTTGCAAAAACGGCGAATCGGATGGATTGTGTTCCGTGCGCTGTTTGAAGTGACGCAATCATATATGGTAACCATGACAACAAAAAACTCCAAAACATTATGAAAGTGATCTGCAATAAGATAAAAGGCAATGATTTATAATATGAATTATTACGTGAATGTTTTTAAAATTTTATAAACTGATTTGTTGTTAAAAATTTATGTCGTGCTTTATGTATAAAAATGATTCACAGGGAACAGCAAAACACAGAATGAAGCTCTATTGTTCTGTTATTGCATGGAATTATCTTTACATATTCCACATTGTTTGTAGCACTTCCTAACATTATATTGTACTCATACATGTTTCCAACTGAAAGAAGTAATGGAAAAGCGAAACAATAACTTTCAAGGATTGGTTTTAACCAAATAATTAGATTATTGACAATGATCGATGCATTGTTAACTGAATAAATGACAGTAAATATCTACAAATACTCTAATTCAACCACAATAACTGCTTTTATTTCATTCATATATATCCAAAAGTAAAAGATAAGAACTAACCTTCAGAAGAAAAGATTCTTTACGAGACTTTCTTCGTTTTCGTAAGGCCAGTTTCCGAATATTACGACCACTTTTCCGGTATCGTAGAATAATCTGCCCATATGCAAACATAATGATGAAAAGTGGGATACAGATACAAAACATCGACATAATGATAGTGAAAGGCCTTTGTCCGCTTCCATTCAGAGCACAAGACGTACCATATGGCTCCAAATTATAGCTGCCGAAATATTTTAGTGGAAGACACGACCAGACCAGAGCATAGATATATGGAAACATGGTGGAGATAATAACGCATCTTCGGCTTTTGATCTCTAAAAAGACATAAGATAAGGTTACTATTGATGTTTAGTAATTAAACATACTGATTATTATAACTATGAACTAATTAAGTCTAAGATAACAACGAAAACTAGTAAGACTTTTATTATAGACAATCATTGCAAACTTCAATAAAAGTAAAAAAAAACATCTGAAATTATTGTTTACCATAAGCACCACTGCAATAACATTTGATATTAGATAAAAAGCCTTGACATCACACACACGCTCATAAAAACAAATTCATTTCTATAGCACTTATAAACACACAAGGACAAATGACGTTAAAACTTGGATATACGAGTACTAGAAAGTACTATTATACTGTATATTTCAATGGAAATTCTACTCTACAATGCTCTATCTGTCTCAGTAGATACAGGGTTAGAGAATCCGATAATTACATTATATAAATGGTAACCCACTGTTTTAAATGATAAATATGTTTGTAGGAAGCACGACCTTTGAATATTTTCACTTAAAATGTAAAATAAAGAGATTATCATAAACATATTAATTGAAGATTGATTGTGAACAAGTTCTTTCGTCTATTATTTCTTCAGTTCTATATGACATCAATATACTAACTAAAACAGTACACATGCATGTTCACAAGAAACATGGTTGTGACCACAAGTTTTAATATAAATATATTTCTTTTTGATTCTGCAATCATAAAATATGTTGTCAACTTTGAGCAGTAAAGTCCTATTACGTTTAAACCGTTACTGCTGATCTTTTTTCCAAAAATAGGGCAATTATAGAGTGAATTGTCAACATCATTTATTTCTAGATCCCGAAGCGAGTGTCATACCACCGGAACACTGGTACCAATGGAGCGATACAATAAAATCGATATTCTCTTAGATTACTTACTGATTTGTGGCTGACAAATGCTGACATAACGCATGATTCCCATAACAGTTACTGTGGCAATGCTTACTATTCCGAAGAAAAATCCAAAGAAACCAAATAAAACACAACCTGAAATACAATAACATAACTATTATACAACATTTTACAGTAAGATATGTTTATATGTGAGATGTGACATTACCTGACTCATATCATATATACATTCAATGTGTGCCTTCAATAAATCTCTATTGACACAATGGACATTAACAAAGATTTCTATTATCAAATAAAGTACATATTACAATTTACCTAGGCAAACTGATAAACATGAAACGATATGTAATAATGAGAAAATTGAAAAAGATTTACCTGTGTCACCAAACATCCATCGATGATAGAGAGAAGACAGAATGGCAAAAGGGAATGAACACAGTGGCAGAAGAACATCTGAGCATGCCAAACTCAATATGTAATAGTCAGATACTGACAATGACCTCCAATGTCTTAAGCAAGTGTAGATTACAAGTGTGTTTAAACTTAATGCCAAAGTACCTTAGGAATAAAGAAGAAGATCGATAATACAATGGAACTTGTTAACAAGATTTTCTCATAGTAAAAAGAAAAAAAATGTATAGTACTTTAATTAAATGAAATGGGAATACACTTCAAGCATCCTGTTTAAAGACTATGAGCTATAAATGTAAATGCAGAATAGAAGGCAAATTTAAGTAAAACCTCATTGTTTGACGACAAGAAAATCTTTCTTAATATTATCCTACAAACCTTTCTGTACGGTCACCAACCTTACCTGAAACCTGATCTTATTTTGAATTTCAAGCGAGTCGAGTCCGACAAAAAGTTTCGATGCTGACATAAACTCACGGTTAACGAAGGGAAGTGAAAACAAGTATCCAATTCGTTAAGACTGCCTGCTGTATTAACAAAACAGTCAGCTGATAAATAAAGAAAGGAACAGTCAATGAAGTAATGTGATAGATTGGGCAAATATAGGCACAATTAAGAGATCTTCCCTCCGAATTGATAATTATAATTCATTTAGGGTAATTATGTTTTCACATAAAAAACATGAAAAATGATGAATACAAAATAACTTTGGATTGGTAGTCGAAACTGAAAGAACCTCGAATAAATCAAAGATAATAATGCGCATTTACACAAATTTTATACTTTGATACAAATAATACATGATCTGAACAACTCACCAATTAGCAGAAGGTAAGCTCCCACGAATAAATCTTCACCAACAGACAGGCGGGAAACGTAAACAGCGTCAAGACGAAAGGAATCGTTCATCCTTCACTGTTGTTTCTCAAATTCTCTAAAAACCAACAAACAAATCACGATTATGTTTGGAAATTTATACTTTTGTAAGATGTACACTAATGTGATGTATTTTCCAAATACATGTTTTTCACTCGAATGTGAAATTTATGTTTGCTAGAATATAGTAAAACAAGTAAAATGGAAACATTCAAAGACACCCAACACGGCAAAATACAGCCATTGTCAAAAAAAAATAAAAAATAAATAAACGGCATATCCTAAGTAACTAAAATAAAAAAGAAAACTCAACAAGAATGTTATGTTTTACGATTGGTCGGAATTATTACAAATCTCTGACTTAATGTACGTGGAGAGTTTTAACAGCCATTCGATAATGTTACTAGTTATTTTTTTCAAAATTTAAACAATAATGTTAAACATCCACGTTCATTTACAGTTTCCATATAATCTACCTTCAGATGACCTAACAAGTACTGTGCTTGAGTAACTACCATGCGAAAAGGAAATGTTTTTTTTTAAAGAAAACTAAAATAAAGATACATATATAGTGTGGTGTACTTTCTTTCATTTGTATTCTATTATGAATGATCGACTCAGAACTTAACTTAATTGATTTTCCAAAAATGTAAAATGCCTTATAAAGGTAGCTGCAGAATTGACCAAAACTATTCCAAGTTCAATATTTAACACATATATAAGTGAAAATTACAATGGTCGTATTTTTAAAGCTAATTAGCTAGATTTAATACTTAAATCTAATAAATAAATCCATTCTTATTCAAACAAACCTTTTTCCAGTGTTGAAAACAAATTTCAGTTTCAAATGACACTTGTACTAAAGCAAGTTCTTAGCCTTTCTAAACTCAATCCTGAAAAATATGTTCTGATGATGAAATGTTACTAGACACCTTTTATATTGATCCCAAAGCGACCAATGATGGAACTGCATTGGTTTCCATCGTTTGATAGAAACTTGATACCTTTTCACTGTCAATAACACATAAACATTCTTTTAACATTTTCTGGTTTAAGAGAAAAGGCAGAGATCACAGAATAGTACGTGTGGAGAATATAATCAAACAAATTCAGTTGGCATTTAGAAAAACCTAAAAAATGTAAAATAATTGGCGTATATGTATACATCATAGCAAAAAAAAATCCCAAGAAAAGTGGGAAGTTTGATGACCTTGAATTAAGTAGACAAGATGTTAATAAGAAAAGGCCCGGAGAACCACGGCATCATCATCAACAACAACAACAACAGCATAATTATAATAATAAAAGGGAACAGTGATCTAGGAGTTTTGGTATGTGTCTCTATCCAAGATTGAGAGACACATAATGACAAAGGTACCGCTTAAATCAAGGGAGCGGGTTATAGTGTGGTCTTAACAAGCTTAATGTTTTTATCAGTATGCCAATGAAATAAATTTGTTTAAACTTAATTATTTGAATGATACACTTTCAATTACGTAATCAATTTATGATTATCATTCTTAGGCACATTTAAAACACACACTTGTACTTACTTCTGAGAATGAAAATAGATAATCATATGCTCAAACACTTTATTTTATTTATTTTTACATTAACTTAAGATACATTATAAAACAAGATATATTATAAAACCTTTCTCGATATTTGTGTTTTAATTTCATTCTTTCAAAACAAAGATGTATTATACATGGACTATCTTATCAGTCTTTTCTATTTACATAATATTACCATAGATGTAATTTATTTATAAATCAATTTGTTAAAAATACACGAGAGAAAACGTAAATACAGATCATTTAAATGTAATAGAATCTCAGTGGAAAACCTTGACATTCCTTTGCTTTCAAAATCAATGACAAATAGAAATAATTATGTTAACACAAAACCCTTTGTAGCATGAATATAAAATACAATGTAAATGTGTTTGAAAGTTGGCGGTTTAAAGTAACAAACTCCTTATTTATTTAATTTGGTCGTGAATGCGGACACTAATCTCTCTCTAGCTACTCTCATTTGGTATTTGGTGTTACAAGGCTGTATACAAGTATTTGTCCAATTTATATATATATCAGCTATAAGAACCAATATGCGGTATACTTAAACTAACATCACATTGATTCAAATGAGCTTGAATAATTCTCTGTATAAGGTATAGTCCAAACAACCACTGCAGCAGCAATTTAAGCTGAAACTGCAGCATTGAAAATTTCGAAAATGTCGCTCTTTATCAGGTTTTTCATATTTTTGCACTTGAATAATAATTTATTTTCCAATTGTATTTTTTTAGTATTAGGTATGTAATTTCAGTTGTCATATTCGACTGGCCCTTCGATGTCATTGATTTCAAGTACATACATTGAAAACCGAATACGCCGCGTGTGGGATGGTGCACAGGATGAAGGACACAATCAAACCGAGGTTTCAATTTTGATGTAATTTTGTTGTTATCAATGTTTTTTCCAGATGATTTTAACATAAGATTATGAAATATTATGGGATTAGTGTTAACATTATAAGACAAGAATGAATGAGATGTTACGCTTCCGTAAATAATTTAAGTGTCAGGCCAGGTACACGTACTAACAATAATAGGCAATAGAGATAACAAATCATAATGCAGATGATGGAAAAGATTATTTATAATTTGCTTCATACGAAATTCTATTTATTGTAATTTCAAATCGTATAGAAAATAGTATATGACTTTAAGAGAAAATCCATGCATCAAACATATTATTATATACATTAGCTTAATATATAGCACGCTGGTTTTTATTGTTCCATATTTTAACCGGACACTAAACACACCCTTTAAATTCAAGGACACTGTACTTTGTTGTTTGTTTAATGGCATTTTTATCAATAACAACATAATAACTTCTCATTTAAGTAATGATGCTATTTTGAATGGACATTTACTCACATAAATGCGAAGTTGCTAACGAGAGGTCTTGTTGTTTATTTGCATTACTTCAACTATCCTTAAACTATTGTATTTTGACAAACCACCGTTTACTGGAAATATCGAGATATACGTACTTATTAGATGCTATATTTTTAAAGTCATTAAGATAAAGATTCATTATATTTGTTAAATACCATAAATTTCAAAGATCATGTCAGAAGGATTTGAAATCCGGGTTCAAAAAGGTAAAAAACAGGGGAAAAAAAAGTTCTTGGGGCCGTCGTTTTTAGGAACATTAGGGACATATTATATGGGTAAAATGGGCCACCCTTTCGGGTAAAATTTACAAAACCCCAGGGGCATTATTTTTACAAAACTTTTTGTTTAAAATTTATAAAAATATAAAGGGGGTGTAAAATTTAAAGGTTTGATTTTAAAAACAAAAGATGATAAAAATTTTAAACTCAAAGATTAAAAAGGGAAAGTTTTTCATATATTTTTTCCAAAAGATAATGGGGGGATAGGGCTTAAAGCTGAACGTTTTTTTTTAAATACTTTAAGGATATACCAAATGTCTCAGTATTGTTATAATTTCTTGCCCTTTGGAATTTTTGAAAGTTTTAAAAATTAAATTTTTATTTTTGAAGGGTTTCGAGAGGGGGGGGAAAAAAATTTTTGGAGAAAAAATTTTTTTTTAATTTTCCACGATATCTCATGAACAAGCCAATTTTTTGTTTCCCTTTTTAACGTAAAGCGTGATGTTCCGTTTTTCCTGAATTTTGAGAAAAAACATGCCAGTTTGCAAAATCTAGATTAATTTCAAAATTAATTTCTAAAATATTAAATATATCCTCCTTAAGTGTTGCTTAACGGGACGCCACTGAATTTTTTGACATAACGGAACTGCTGGAAATATTTGTTTCTAGGATTTGTGTTCAGTTAAATGTAGCTCTTAACCAATCACTTGTATGTACATTTCCAAATCATTCCCTCATTCCTTGTTTCCAGAATACTTATTTTTATAGTGCAAATGACCCAAAAATGAAAAGCTATTCAACTCAAATTGCGCTAATAATTGCTCTAGTTTTCGATTTTAATACAATTCTAAGAAATATTTTATTGTCTTTTGCAGACTTTACCATTTTAAGTATTTTACTTGATCTATGTTAAAACTTGAATGTTTATGTTTATAGGCATTTTGACCTTAGTGGAGCTCCTTTAAAAATCAATAATTTATCTTGTCATGTTTTTAAATCTTGCAATATGGTAAAGGATGACGACCAAATTTATTTTTGAGATTGGAAAAGTCAAGCTGTGTTAGTGACGTCCATAGTCAGCATGCGTAAGTTTCATTATCACATGGACATTGTTAACCAAACAATAATGCAATATACTATTTTATAAATCTTTGAAATCTTTGATGATAAGACCTTAAATGTATCAATCTGTTTATTTTCTGGATTATTCACCGACTACTCATAAAGTTTAACTCAAAGCACACGATTCTGGAATATGATACATGTGTCATCAGTAAAACAAATATTTCATAACAATACATAAGATTACCTCCAAAACGCAACCCGGTTCCAAATAGATCTAAAAAACCCATTATAATCATATTGATCCGATATGAAAGGAGCTTTATAGGTTACCTATAAATTTTCAGGATAGTGTGCAATATTCAAAAGATGTGCATGTAAAAGCTACATCAATAAACGTTATTTATATCAACCTCTGATGCTTTTTAACGTGAGACTACTTCCCTGAAATTAATCAGTCAATGAAATTTAAAGTATTCCGAGGAAAATACCTTGATATTTTGGGGGTCTACAGAAAAAAACATGAAAGTTCTTTTTAAGATTCAAAAGGGAACCATACTTTTGTGACCAGCTGTTGTTCACTGAACTCATTTCGAAACATCTTTATCGAAATGTTACATCATTATATATAAACAGTTCTATTTGTATGTAGCTGCCACGATTGTGTTGTATAACCCATAAACAAGATAACAGGATTAATGTTTTATACATCAGTAAATAACACCAAAACCGGCGAGCTTCCGTACCATGTACGGACATAATATAAAGATATTTGATAAAAGTACACG